ATATATATACATAGATAGATATTAAAACACACAGCTTTAACTTGGTTTTTATTATAATCAGAATCCATTGACTAAATCCATACTGTCAATGAAGAGCTGAGAAACAACGAGAGATGAGACCCACTATAACTTACATAACTTATTTACTTACAAATGTGGGTCAGGGTTTATTTTAGACATATATAAGAGAGAAAAATACTAGATTTCATTACATAAAATGCATGTACTTGTAAAGTTATGGTCAGGTTTAGCTTATTTTAGACATATATAATAGAGAGAGAGACAACGCCAGATTTAATTACATAATTGAGTAGTGTAATACAACTGTATCTCCTCCATTAGGTGATCACCATGAGACAAACAACAAATGTCAGTATGTTTTAGCTAAAAGATCTGTGAATAAATACCTATTATAGACTATTTAAGTTGGCCTGAAGAGTTGGACAAACCCTGATCTGCCATGTAAAGTACACTCACCGATGGGAATCCCAACAGTCACAGCTGCAGCCACGAGACAACCAGATGAAGCTCCACAGATTTTAGAGGCTCCATGAACCAGTTGTGGGACCTGCTGGAGGATACAGCTCAAAGATCCCAGGTAGTAAATACTCCTAAATCCACAGCCTGCAAAAGAGATGTTCCACTCCTCATCCCAGTTAAACATCTCGTCTCTTCCATCAACTCAAAACCACATCACCAATATTGTAGGCCTTTCACTTATTTATCAGAGTTCAACTGGTTCATCTGGATCCCCTTCAGTTTTTAATCTACATAAAAACCACTATCTTAGCTTCACCACTTGCAGAGGTAAAATGGGCAGTGCTTTAGTTATTGCACAACTTACTAGGCTCAAACGTCACATGTTTCAAAATAGAAGGTTGAAGTCGCTCACATACATAAGTGGAGTGAGTGGAGTAAGGCCAGCTGCATGACATGTGATAGTTTTCATAACTTACTTAACTAACACTATGTAACTAGTAATGGGGCGAGAGGGGGGACAAGAGGGAAAACAACTGCATCTTTTTCACGTGTACCTTCCAGCTATCAAATACTTACAGAATATCATATGATTAAATATCATATAAATACATTTATAACTTGGTGCCGTTTTAAGCTTACATCCAATTTTCTTTTCTGTATTCCAGCTGAATCTGTGACTAATTTTTGTTTTTCCTTCTTTCTGAAATACTGTAAAATGTTCCTGTGGTTTTCTGTCCATTCTGTTCTCGGTGCCCCTGGAAGTTGTCCTGGCCCACCTCAGCAAGCGATTGGCTGACATGGGAGGGTCATCAGCTGAGTTCACTGGACCCTTAGGCTATAAAATAGGCCCATGTGTTCACACTGCCTCTCCCTTTCTATTTACATCCTCCCTGCATTGTCTTTTGGTTTTCACCTTCAACACCTCCATAGTACACCAACCCTGCATCCAAGAGCTGCTTTCATTGCTGTACACACTCCATTTTTCATTTGTGCTTACCTTAGTTTTAATAAATTACTCTTGTGAATAAATAAAACTATTGCCTGGCTCCCTCCTGGTCACATTCTCTGAGTCAGTTTGTGACCATAGTAATATTATAACAACCCAACCTTTTGTTAGCATCAGCAATGTGAAAACAATGTGCCACAATGCCAGCATTAATCCTTGGGGTACAATCCTTAGGCTTGTTTTTGCCACTGACTCAGGCTCAGATTGTTATTCTAAGTGTGTGACAACATTTTACCCTGCAGACTTTCGTTTGACCAGAAACAGCTGTAATATCGCTATCCCTGGTCACCAGACTCCATAAAAATACTGCAACTTCATTCAAAGTGAAACAAAATAAAACTCAAAATAAAAACTCACCCAAAAGTCTTTAATCACCAACTTTGGTTTGGTCAAAATAAATTAATTCAACAATGTAGATGAGAAAAACAGGAGTTACTCTACTCAGGTGCCGAGGGAGCAGGGTTCACACTATGTAAACCAACCACATAGAGGCTGTGACTGTGACATCATTCTCAGCTGAGGACTCCACTATATGTTTACATAGCAAATAGTTGTTTGCTGCCATATTAATGTTTTAAATCTCATATATACATATATATAACCTTTAAAATGACATATGGTCAAATTTTACTATCCAGTACATAGTAGTCATTTAACTTTAAAGTTGCATATGATTATTTTTGGGCACACAAGCCGACAACACAACATTACCATAATCACACCATGTAAGCAAATAGTTGTCCATTTACACATCGAAGCGACAGAGAGGAACGTCAGCATTCATTAGTTTAGTGTGACAAATGTAAGTCCAGTATTATTCACCCACCAACTGAGAACAATATCTGGCTCTTTAGATGTTAAGTTCCACTATGTTCACCAGCTGGCCGCTAACTTTGTCTGTTTGCTAAGTAAAGTTACAGACCAGAGGACCAAAATAATGAGCTGAAAGATGCTAAATGCTTAAAAAGTTCCAATGACCTGATGGAACTGCATACATTACATTACACACATTAATGTTATATTAATCATATAGTAATATGATTTGATATAAAATATGAATTAGTGAAGCTTTAACATAGACTGAAAACACATTTGATAACGACACCACTAAACACAGGACATTTTTGCATTCCTTTATTCAACATTTTAATTGTTTAATATTAAATATATTTATTTCAATGCAGAAAAGGACATTGAATCATCTGTTTTCTTTTGGTTTTAAGTTTGCTCGGATGCAATATTCCGGATCCACCCCACGGCTCTGCCCAAAGCCCAGCCTTTACCTGCGCTTTTAGGTGACTCTGTGGTGGCTTCACCAAACCCAGGGGTGGGGCTGAAGGTGGGTGTAGGGGGTGGAGTCAAGGACATGTGGTCCAACTCGCTATGTGTGTTCCAGGTGAAGGTAAGACTGGAGGAAGGAGAAGCATCTGGGGTCACTGGGAGAATGTTGATGTCTTCTTTTCTCTGATCCCACAAGTCCAGGCCTGATGGCAGGCTGGTGCACCGGCGCAGTTCTGTCTCCCTGGAAAAAGCACAGGGTGGAGACAAGGAAAAAGGGAAAGTTCAGTTTTAGTCGTGCTGGTGTCGTGGCTCCCTAATTGGCAGTTCTGGTGTGTCAGTCAACCACTTTGCTTAAGAGTGAAATACATTGCGAGAGACCCCCTGACTCTTCATTTATGATCCAGACAGTGTGATCAACAGGCCAGAATTAACTCTTAAGTTCAGGAAAACAATACCATTTACCTCAAAGCTGAGCTGAGCTCAAGTACAGCCAAACGTGAGGGTTTTTAAGGCATTGCAACACATTTAGAGACATTTTTCTGGGCAGGAGAAATTTCACTGCATACCCATCATAGTCCTCCACCTTGTCCTTTGAGGCTTGTTTGCATATGTCTCCAGCTATGCCATAGAACCAGCTCATGTCCCTTGGTACATCTGGGATCCAGCCCACAAGTCTAAAAGGAACAGTCAAAGTGTTGGCGAGTCAAGTTAGCACATACTGGCAGTGGTAGAAGCAGTACTCAGAACATTTATGAGTACTGCTTATTTACATTTATGTAAATAATCTGTAATAAATTGTTAAAATTTTCACTTGAGTGAAAGCTGCAAATATTAGTAATGAACTGAAGAATGAAAGTTCTCACTGTGAACAACAGACACATTTACACATAAGATGAAGGGGGGGGGGGGGACAACAAGAAATAGATGCTGCAGATGATTATCAGCTTATTTTATGTCAAATGAAAAACTTTTATATGCAAAGTAACTACAGCAGTCAGAGAAAGTGTAGTACAATAGCTCCCTCTAAAAAATATTGGGGAGAAACCAAAAAATAATGCGGCATGTTTGTCTAGTTCGGTAGCTGCAAGAGACAAAAATAACTTTAAGACAATTATCATCAGCCAAATATCAACCTGTTATTAATACATCTATGTCAAAGAGTACCGGTATTAGCAACTCATCTGTAACATTTGTTGTAGCCTGTTTGGACTACAGTACCAGACAGGTGGAGTTTGAAGATAATAACAAAGATAACGTCACACTATTTCTAACTATTAGAAATAATTTGGATGAAGTATTGTTGAATACAAGCCAGTAGACTATACCTCTGGGCGAGAGAGTAGGCTGACTCCACGGGCTGAATACAGGGGATCTGCAGGTAAGAAGTCACTTTCTTTGGCAGGTACCTGGTCATCTGGGACAACAGACCACCAGCAGTATGTGTCTCTTTACTGGCCTCACACAATGCTGTCACGAAAACAGTGAAAAACAAACATTACATATTTACTTCTGCTGCATTTCATTTACTGTACTGGCACAGCGCTCAGTGGAATATTATTGTTTCATTGGTTTCAATCACAATCCTTTCTGTACTGCGTGTGTTTTTTCACAAACAAAGAGGATTTCCCTGTGGATCATAACCATGCCAGACGCCTTTTTACCCTTTTTAATGTTAACTGGGAGGTTCTCTATGAGCTTAGGATCCAGCCACCCGTGCGCTTCCTGAGGTGGTTTCAGTGCATCCAGTTGTGTGTTCTCGTTGGACTCTTCAGCTTCAGTCGGCTCCTTTACCAGCTCACAACAAGCAGGTTTGGTTGCATCCGTCTCCAAACTTCTCATTGGACACTCATTGCTGATCAGCTCTGTGATGGACATTTAGATGATTTCTACAATATGAAGCACCATCAGCCAAACTTTTGTTCCCTACCTTCTGTTTACATGTATATTCAACAGTAGATGATCTCCTTACTGTTCTCTTGCAGGAAGCGTAGAGCATCTATGTAGCCATTCTGGCAGATTTCAGCCATTCCCTGTAAAATCCAAAGGTCCTTGGTGAGGATGCAAGCTAAATCTGTTTAATATTATGTAATATTACAGGTGTTCACGCTCCATCTGTATTACTTGTCTTGAGTTTTTGTGTCTCACCTCAGGCCCTGGGGGGAAGAAGGTGCTGGTCACTCTGTACATGTTCTCAGAGTTGACCTGAATGCTGACATTGTTGAAGCGTACTTCGTGGAAGTTCAACGTGCTCCCTCGAGGGCAGAGGTCACTCTCACCTGCATACGCAGAGAAGGTGACTGTGTTTCTCAGGTGACATCGTGGCAGGTTGTCACTGACGGCACCATCCACATAATGCTGAGTGGAAAGGGAGCTTGCTGATCAGTGTGTAGAACCAGAAATGTTATTATTATAATGTTATTTTTATAGTAACCCTCCCAACCCTGATCCTAGCTTAAGTGTAACGACTGGTTCACTCACCACTCCACGGTAAGTGGGTGGAATAACGCCACAGTAGAAGGGGACGAAGCAGCTGCATATAAGGGCCTGCAAAGGGCAGATATTACTGCATATTAGGTACAGAAACACAAACTCCCTATGCAGACAAACACAAACAATGATGTGCATGTGTGCAAATGCATTTTACGCCTTATTTCCAGGGAGGAAGGACTGGTGATCAAAACAGTAAACAAGATTGAATAGTTGCATCAGATAAGATAAAAATAAGAACTGTTGCAACACTTGCACCAGCAGAATCACTTCTCCAGTTCTGGTAAAGGAGGGTAACTCCAATTACTGCCCCCGCATATTCCTTCTCCATTCCCTCAGATTACAAAATGTATGTGTCTATTCAGCTTTTCATAATTTTAAACATAACTGTAAAAATAAGTTATGACTGTATCATCATAAATCCGTTTTACTGCTTTTATTTGGTTACTATCATGTTCTCAATCAAGACACTTAACTGTCTCCTGGCCTCAGAAGACTGTAGACAAAAGGGTCAGCTTAACAACCAAATTGAAACATTTACCTGAATGAGCTCCTCTTTGCTGTCGTACTCTGACACTAGTATGTTCTTCCCGTCAGACACTCTGGTCAGGGACACACAGAGCTTCCCCGTGGCTCGAACATGGGCGTCTTCTGGAAGGCCTCTCACCAGAGAGTCCTTTACTATTTTCAGCAGGTTGTAAGCTGGGTGCAGGGGACCCAGTTTGTGCTTCCTGGCCTCTTTGGCCATGAACATCAAATCAGCACAGCAGTTCTCTGCACAGAGGAACACATTAATTACAGAGCATTCTTGGTAGATGTACTGAAGGGGGATGGATTCCATAATAAGAAATAAACAGGATATGTATATTTTTTCAAAATAAAACTATTAAGTAATAAACTAACAGTTTAGAAGCTCACACAGCAGAAAAATGTATGTCACATAACACTGCAGGTGTAACAATAGAAATCCTGATAAATCCTGAAAAACTGGGGTTTTTCCACTAAGGACATATATTAGATTACTCCTTTTGATTTAAAATGTTTTGTGTTTTCTATGCATCTTGTACTGTCAAACAAATGTGAATTAGTTAAACTAAAACATTTAAATCGGCTTTCACTAACGTGTCTTAAAGTTGGTTTAGTTAGTCAAAGACAATGGAGTCCTGGAGTAAGGCAAGACTAAAAGGAGGAAAGCAGGTGCATGTTGGATGTTCCAAATTGTCTACAGACATCCTCACAAACAGGATTAAGCAGAAGTTAAACCAGTCTCCTTTAAAATAGGTCATAGTATCCTCCATTTTGCAATTATCATCGTTTAATCCAGAACAGGATAAATCTACAACTATTTTAAGATAAATCACTGCAAGTTGCTTTGAGTTAAGACATCTCAATTTTAGGCATTTTAGTCTGGGACTAGGCCCAAGCCTTGTCTGTGAAACCAGGCCCAATCTTAACTAAGATCTCAGAAAACTCAGATATGTCCAAACAAGGTGCAACAAACAAACACAGCACATATCAGAATATCAGCACAGGCTTTCTTCCATGGCCATGCAGAGAATAATGAGGTCAAACAGCTAGACATGCAATTGCAAAATCAATATCTTACAGTAATTAAGGAAAAACAAACGTCAAAAGTCTAGAAAGTTTTTTTTAAGACAAAAAAAAAACTCATGGACAATGCTGCTTGATGCATTAGACCTATGCCGAGTTATATAATAAAACGTAGTGATTGAAATGCAATTGAATATTGCTTCATTTAAACTATTACTAAAACCACGTTAAAATGACAGATTTTTTGAATGAAGTTTGGTCTGTGGAGAGGGAACCCACAACTCACCCAGGGGGATCCCAACACTCAGAACAGTCGCCATCAAAGCACCCGCAGACGCTCCGTAGATTTTAGAGGCGTCTTGTATTAAACGAGGGAACCGTTCGAGGATACAGCTGGTGGCACCCACATAATAAATCCCCATAAAGCCGCATCCTGCAAAGGAGATGCTCCACTCTTTATTCAAATCAAACATTTTCCTCAGGTGAGACTCCACCAGCAAGAGTCCGGACTGTACCAATCTACCACAGAAACTAACCCAACTTGTTGAAAAGTAAGATTAAAGTGAGGACGATCCTGTTGGCCAGCCGCCAACCTACACATCACCTGCGAACATCACCCAAAGGTGAAAGGGTAATCAATAATTGTGTAATTCTTTCTGCCATTATGATCTCTTTTCCTATTGGCTGAAAAAAAATCACATGACCACACAAAACATGGTCGCAACCATAGACATATATACAGGTCGCAACACTGGAGAGCAGCTTTTTAATAATCCATGGTGTGAGCGATCCTGCAGCTCTGCGTTCAGATTCTTTCAAACACACTTTTTGAGTTTTAAAATGAGCATCCCGGTGGTGGACTTTGGCGCGTACAGCCTGAGCAAGGAAGATGTCACAGACGAGCAGATGCGCAACTTGAGCAAAGAGTTGAAAACTGCTTTTACAGAAGTTGGTTTTGTTTTTCTGGAGAACACGGGCATCACCCAGGAGGAGGTGAGAACAGCAAATGAAGGTGAGTTATTTGGAAAGTGCTCAGAGTGAGATGTCTCCTGGTTTGTCTGGATAGGTGGATCGTGTTATGGACATATCCAAGAGGTTCTTCCTGCAGCCAGATGAAGTGAAACAACCCTTCAGCAGGAAAAGCTTTGCCAACAGTCCTAACCACGGCTGGGTGTCTCTGGAGACTGAGAGGTAGATCAGAAAATGAGCAACACACACACACACACACACACACACACACTTATCTGCACAATATAATGGTTTTTAATGTGAATAACTGCTTTTCAGGTTGAATCCACGTCGACCTGGAGACCTAAAGGAGGCATTCAACACTGCTTCACTTGACCCTGATATAGTAATGATTCACTGTCAGAGTTAGACTTTGTTCGTTTTACACAACAGACCTACATCGGGATAGTGGTGGAATGTAACCAAGTAAATTTATTCAATTTGCCTACTGAGCATTTCCTTGTTATGCATCTTTCTACTTCACCACATCTCAGAGATCAATATTGTACTTTTTACTCCACTACATTTATCTGACTGCTTTAGTCACTAGTAGGGGTGGGTAAAAAATATCGATACGGCAATATATCGCGATATATAATATTTTTTTCAGTGAATGTCATGGAAATTAATAAAATGGAGAGGCTGTTTTGAATGAAATAGTTTTGATTCAATTTGTCCTCTGATCAATATCATCTGATATCTCTATTTATATCGCAATATCGTGATACGTATGGTATCGTGAGGTTCTTGCCAATACTCACCCCTAGTCACTAGTTGCTTTTCAGATTACAATTTGTCATACAATTCCTCTCCAATGAAATCCATCTCCACATTTTTGAAATTGATAATTAAGTGTTTCTGAGAAAATCCTCCTACTGCCTGAACTGAATTAGCTGGAAAAAGCATTGTCACAAAGAGAGCAACGACAAACACATGATGATCTTGCAGAATATGATGCATTGCAGTAGATTAAACTAACCAACAGCATATAAAGTAGTTAAGACGAGTGCAACCTTAAACATCTGCTGTAGATGTTAAAACATGGAACATTTTTCTTCAGAATGAGTACTTTTACTTTTGATACTTTAAGCACATTTTTTTTGATAATACTTTTACTTAAGCAGGACTTTTACTTGTATTGGAGTATTTTCATGCTAATATAAGCAGCCGATATTGATTTATCACAGCTATATCAGTATCTGCACATGAAACAGAAACCAGGAAATTGCAGTACAGAAATATAGATATACAAGTGTCCTGCTCAGTCCATATTGTAATTATTTTAAAGGTCCAGTGTGTAACATTTAGGAGATTCTATTGGCAGAAATAGAATATTTGGTACCTTTTTTTTTTTTTAAACCAATTTTAAGAAAAGATTTTTGCTCATGTTATGCGTTTATGTTAAAACAATAAATAACAAGAACTTTTTATGTCAGTTTTGTCTGCACAAATCTAGTATCAGGCTCTAATTCTGTTCTCCCCTGCTGTAGAAATGGCCCTCCGGTGCTCTAACAGGGTTCCAGGAGATCCATACGTCTTTCTTCCTGCGCTGTAAAGAGCTGAGCCTGCGGGTGCTGAGGGTGGTGGCCCACAGTCTGGGTCTGGACCCCGAGGTGTTCCTGGGTGCACACCGTTTCATTGGAAGTATGTACAAAACGCCACTCTCACTGCGCTCACTATGGAGCGTGTTGTTGTTGCCCTGGTTCAAGCTGGATGTCATGTAGAGAGACAGTGAGTCCACATCAGCTGATCCCTCTGACTTGATCCTTTGTTTATCTGCATGAGGTCTTATGAGTGTTTGTGGACCTTCTCACATTAAGTGGTGGAATGTAACTAAGTACATTTACTCAAGTGCTATACTTAATACTTTAATTGAGTATTTCTATTCTAGGTAACTGTATACCTCTACTCCACTAAATATCAGAAGCCAATACTTTTTTACTCCACTACATTTGTCCAACAGCTTCAGTTACTAGTTACTTTTCAGAGTACAGTTTTTCATACCCTCCCTGTGAAAACCATATATCTCCATTTTTTTCTGATAAACCGGAGAATGAGAATGTTCCTTATACTTAAAGTACATTAACTATAATTAGTAATTAATGAATTATTTAAAACGCTCTTGGATTAGCTGGAAAACTAATTGTCACAAAGCTGAAAACTGTTTTTTTTTTTTTTTTCAGAGCTCAAGAAAAGTTGACTTAAGAGACGTGGTTCTCACAGGACAGCGATGATACAAACATACAATGGTTTTATAGAATATGATGCATTGCTGTATTAAACTACCCAGCAGTACATAAAAATGCAACATACACATTAAAAGTCAGAATATTGTAATCTGCTGAGTGGCTAAAAAGAGATTTGCTCAAGAGCACAGAGGGAATGGTTACTAAGAAAGTGCAGCATTACCCATGCACTTTCCTCACACACTTCCCCTGCTGGTGTATTTATTCAAACTTTGCTCTAGTTAACTGTGTTTGACTTCTACATTGTCAGTAAAGGAAGTCAAGGAAGTTTAGGCATCAATTATGCTGATTTAGACTTAATATTTGGAGGAACTTTGTAAAAAGTCTTATTTTACTAATAAGATCTTTTAAGATCCTGTCTTGTGTAAATGTGAACAATGTAACACAATATTCAAGATAATTCAAGTAACAAGAGCATTAAAGAAGTTAAATGAAAAAAACCTGCAAAGTTTAGGGACCAACACAACAACAACAAAACAATCATCATCTTGAAAGACCCCCTGTGTATCCAACAGGCTCCTGTTTACTGGAACAACAGCCAGGCCTTTAAGTACACTTTTGTTCTTATACCACAGCCAAAAACACTCCCAGTAGTACTGAACCTGGAGCCCAGAGAAAACTCTACACTCTTGTGATACTAATATACCAGGCAGGTTTTAACAACATTGTTGTGTCTCCTTTAGCTGATCAGAATGGCACAACCCTGCGGTCTCTGTACTACCCACCAGTTAACAGTGAGAAAGTGAAGGAGGGTCAGCTGCGATGTGGAGAGCATTCAGACTATGGCAGCATCACCCTGTTGTTTCAGAGCTCTGAAGGTTTGCAGGTAAAACCACTGACAACTCCACCTCTCTGAATTCAAGACAAAATATAAACTGTTAAAACTAAGTGAAGCCTTAGGACTACATCTACACAAAGAAATCTCCATTCATGTAATTCACCTGACACTTGTCAACCTCCAGGTGCGTAGACGTTCAGGTGAATTCATCTGTGCTCCCAGAATCCCCGGAATGGTCCTCATCAATATCGCTGACCTGCTGCAGCGCTGGACCAGCGATCAGCTTGTCTCTGTGGTGAGTTGAGAGGAGGTTTTGCACCTATGTCTCACATTTGAATGAAAACGTTTTGGTGGATTTAAGTCTTTTTATTTTATTTTTTAGTTTAGTTTATTGATTTTTTTTAATTATAAAAAGGACACAAGTACGAGCATGGGGCTTAACAAGACATATTCAAGATCTAACCAGTCTCTAGAAGGTCCTCTTTGCTTGAGAAGATATCAGCCATTATGTTTGGCACAACAATAAAATAAGGGATAAATTAATGACTTTACCACTGAATAACTTACAGTAATTTGTCTACATTTACAGTAGGTTATATCAAAGGATGAGTAATTGCTATTCAGTCAATACTAGAAATAAGGATAGTAAGATTTCAAAAAGCAATAGATTTGTTTGGCTTATGGCACAACTATTACAGTACACAAAATAGGAGACCACTGACTTTACACACATGGACCACTTGGTCGTTAGCCACGAAGTCAAGCTCAGCCCTCAATTCCAGCTACATCAGCTGATAGCTCAGCTGATTCCCTTCAAGCATCCAATTGGAAAAATGTCATTCAGGGCGCCTTATTTAAGCTGCTTTAAGCCTGCCTACCTTTGCTGCTTCCTCTGCAAACCACTATGCAACCACCCCTCCACCCCAGCTCCTCCTTTTATGCTGTATCTGATTTAATCAATGTCATTTCTGTTGCCATTGATGCTTGGTCTGTTATGTACCCTGGGATGCACATGGAAGGGCAGGAAGGTCCCAGAACAGAGTCCTACTGCCAAATATAAAATTCTGCATTTGGAAATAAGTTATTTTGACAAAAGTGGTCCTGACTGAACTATAGTAATTGTACAAGACATTGTAGAACAATGCCAATTTCAGCGTAACTAGAACGATTAAAGGAGAATTATAGTAATAGAATAGAAACAAAAATAAAATTAGGTTCAAGTTCACTATGAATTCATTAAGTGACACAAAAAAAACTAATTTCTATAATGTAAAAGCTTCTTATTGCAGTTGTCCTGTCTCTCAGCTCCACAGAGTCTTATTGCCCCCTGCTGGAGACTCTGGCACACGTCAGTCTATGGCTTTCTTTGTCCAGCCGGATGACGACGCTCTCATCACCTGCTGTGATGGCTCCAACAAATACCCTCCAGTGACAGCGGGCGCCTACCTCACTGAGCGCTTCAATGACTCATACGGAAAAAACTGAATTTTCGACCCATCAGTTCATTCATACACAACTGTTGATTACAAGTGTGTTGTCGTTTTGTCAGCAACTGCCCTGCTGAGCTTTTAAGACATGACTGGAAAATCTTATTTTCGGCAAAATGATGAATATGTCACTTTCGATCCACAATGTTTTTACATTTTTAATTGTATTTTGAATATGATTGTTTATTAGATAATCAGTGAGTGGATGTGTATGTTTTATTTGTTCAATTTTTTATTAGCTTTTTACAGTTCGATATACTTTTACTGTGTATGATTTTACAAAAGGAGAGGCACAAACCTCAAATCTGCAAGCTCATTCACTTTATTGTCCACATTCAAACCTTGTACAATATTTTCATGAATTCAGGACATTGGCTGGTGGATTTAGCTTTAGATTTAACTGCTTTTTGAAAAGGGGCCATAAAAATAAATCAACCAGTATATTATCATTAAAAGATGAACTATGTTTGTCATTGTATCTGTTGTATTAATCTAGAATTATTTATATATATATATATTTGGAGTTTAATTTAATTTTTACCAATGAGGTGATCAAATTCAAGGTCAGATACAACCAGCTGTAGTTTAATTCACAGTGCGCAGAGAAAAAAATAAGTTAGTATTTTATCATCAAAAATCATAAAGATTCACAGACACTCACAAACACAGTGAACACACACAACCACTTCAGAATCCATACAACCGTCACTCTAACACCATTACAATTAGATTAAATTAAAAGATTTAAATATATCTAACTCTGTAAACTAAATATATCCTTCAATCATCTGGTCCAAAAGGGGACGACAGCTGGAAAGGACAATTGAAGGAATGTAGACATAAACTGTAAAAATAAAATGGCTTTGAAGAATTTCATGATGACTGAAGAGAATTGTGGGTAGTTGTTGCAGTACGGACTCCTTTTAAGAACTTATATAAAACAGTTTAGATGTATTAGGACAAAGTCAACTGTGGTTTTGAAATGTTGATTGACAGCATACTTTCACACCAACCTAGGTATACATGGTCACATTCTAAAAATAAAACCATAAAACAAACGTGAAAATTAACGTGGTGAAACACAAGTAAAGTAAATAGGACCATTTCAGTCATTAGGCAGCAGGACAACATAAACTCTCTAAAGTTACGTTTCTGACATTCATTTTTCTGAACTGGCTCCCTTTAATGGAATAAATAAATTAATCTTCAAAAGTATTTCCTCTAACAGACAGTATCAGTGACAATGAACTGCAGTGTGCACTAAACAAAACATTCACATATCAGGCCAAAAGCCCTCCCATTTCACCCCAAAGCACTTCCCATGGAGAACATGGGCGTCCTTGTTGTGATAAAAGATCAAAATGACAAAAACAAAAGGGTCGATTGTACACGGAGAAAACTGGACCAGCTCCACATTTCAAGTCTGATTTATGCAGCCAAATCGGGCATAATGGGCACTGGCACTAAATCTGAAGCCTGAACAAGCCTGTGCTCTTAATATTTAGGCAGATTTTTGTTAAAATTGTGTTGTTTTTTTTTGAAAATCCTAAACAAAAATGGAAAATTGGAATAATTACAAGGCAAACACGCACACATGCTCTCTGGCATTCATACAGCACACGGTGCATTGAGCACTGCTAAGAGTGTCCTGGCACCGGTACACCTTGCTGCTGGTGACCGGGGGGCAGTGGTTGACTGTTTCCTGGTACAACTGGTGCAGATTCAGCTCCCGGCTCTGCAACAGAGAGTCATATTGGATCAGGCTGATGGGTTTAACTTACATGATCATGTGGCTGAAGATGAAAGGATGTTACTACTGGTGGTGCAGAAGTTCTTGGCATTTGCTGCTTTATGATCATTCTTTTTTAAAGTGTATTTTGAGTCCTCCAGCTTCATAGAAGTGCAATACTAAATAACAGTACCTCTGATATTTCTAACTGTGCGTTAGTGTAAAAGTTTGTGTTCTGTGTCAACTCCTTGGTTAAATTGGGTTTAAACAACAATCACTGCAATGTGGTACTTACGTTTGACCTCAACATTTGAGTTTTGAGCTTTTAACCTTTCCATTTCTTCTACTGCCTAAACAGAGAAAACACAATGGAGAATGTTAGAACATCACAATATAAGTGGCAATCTCTGCTCAGCTTATCAACAGAAATATTTTGTAAGAACACAACAGTACCAGAAGTACACATTAAGTTACACCTTGACAAAGAAATGCTAAGATATAAGATAAGATAGATAAGATATTTGCGTGAACTTAGCAACAGTAAGCGGTAATGTACAATAACCTTTGGGTGCGGCTCACCAGTGTTGTTACAAGGAAGTAAATGTTTCACAGGCAAACAAATCATGCACATCATCGAAATTATTTGAACTCATTTGCACTATGGGTTACAGTGGGGATATTACTTTTTTACATTTGTTGCACATGTCAAGCGACTGCAGACGGAAGAAATCAACTGCAAATAATTCATTTTTAAATTCACCTGCTGTAGCCCCAACTTCTGAGCATTGAGTTCTTCCTCTTTCCTTTCAAGTTCCTCCCTCTGTTTCTGCAGGTCGGCCGACTTTTTGTTGATGTCATTCTCCTCGTGGGCCAGTTGCTGTTCATACTCTCTCAGCTCCTCCTCGGTGTAAAGGGGGTTTTGATCTAAAGTCTGTGGAGGCAGGAAATTAAAGGATGTAATAAATTAAATGAAGAATAGGATGACACGCAGCAAAGGGCAACAGGTTGGAGTCGAACTCATGGCCACTGCACCTTTACCAGGTGAGCTACCAGGATGCCCTGAAACCTCCTGTTCCTGTCTCCATTATCAGACTTTTCTAGAGAATCTTACCTCCCACTCGTCTTTTTCCATGAAATCCTCCTTCTTTGTGGCTGCCATGAACTCGCTCAGTGACACAAGTCTGTCTTTATTGGTGTCAACCTGAACATCAAAGAACAGCCAATAAGAAGTCTTCAAGATTAATCATTGGAGAGGAGAAAGCCTCAATCTTTCAACTCCCTACCTCTGTTAATGTTAAATGGTCAAACTGACTGAATTTAATCTTTTTACTGACTTCATTCAAAGTATGCCCGGTCCATTTGTGGGGCCTGATCATTACTGTTTTAATAATACACATGAGATGGCTTCCGTATCTGTTTTGTTATTGTGGTGGCTCACCTCATTCATAACATGCTCTCTCATTCGCAGTCTCTCTTCCTCCATCTCAACCATGTCGTCTTCTACATTTTCAGGGTTGTACACCTTCTCCAGCTTGAAGACACATACGGATACAAAGTTCAACTTTAAGGCTTCTTCATTTATATATATTACATTATCCTAAAACGTGCAGAACATCAGGGCAGTTTGTCATACATACATCAACATAAATACCTCTTTAGTGAAGAGAGCTTCAAGTTCGCTCTCATCAAAGAAGCCATCTCCATTGGTGTCTGCAACGCAATACCAAATGGCTGTTATTAAAAGACAATTTCATCTATACAAATTAATTTACTCAGATTAATACTATGTCAATAGTGTGGTAGGCTTTATTGTGCTTAGTGGATCACTAGTCTACACACAACACATTTGGCAGAAGATTTTTGTTACTAGATTGTAGAATTCAATGGTTGATTTGACTGGTCGTTTATTTAAGAGAGCAGTGGAAACTAGTCATTAGTCGTTCTGTAGACCCAGATATGGTTACCGTGCAATTTGAAGAAGGTCTTGGGATCAAAGTCTTCTGGATCCAAACCATCTGCCTCCTGCCACACCTCCTTTAGCTGGTCTTCACTGCCCTGCACGCACACACACACACACACATATATATACAGTAGGTGTCAGTTTATCTTCAAACATATGACCGTAGTTTCCTTCATGTTACAAATAATGTTGTTCTGCATAGTCCCTAACATGTTTAGAATTCTACCAACTAATATCTCATAATAACTAATAAATGAGGACTCTTAATACTATGTCACTAAATGAGTTGTAATCTCTACTTGCATCAGTTAACTTCCCTAAAGCAAGTCTCTTACAGGGTGGTTAACTTTTGGATGTTCTGCATGTTTCTTTTTCATCTCCTCGTAGTGCTGCTCCTCCCTCTTGCGCTCCTCCTCATCCAGGGCTTTCAGACGTTCCCTCCTCTCATGCTCCTTCATCATTTCGTACCTCTTGAACTCATCGTGGTGGCCCTTGTCAAAGTTCTCCAGGTCTTTGGTCGCCTACAAATGAAAACAAAAAGTTGAGAAGAGGAAATTCACACCTGCATTGTGCAGCTCATACTGGTACACTACACATTTCATGAATTGATTCCCACACAAGTGATGCAATTGCTGAACATCGGATTGTCCTAAAATGTCCTAAAATTCCTAAAGAGCAGTTTCAACAAGGAAATGTTATGGTCATTGATTGTTAAACGTACTATAAGGAGTTTTTAACTGGTTATAAAACAGTCTCAATTCAATGCTGATGCCGCTATATGGCCGAGATAATCAAACAAAACCTTTAGCAAGAAGATTGGCTATTGCTATATTTCTGTATAGTTTTTCTTAATGCCTGCCACCAGGTCAGATTCAATCAGATACCCCTCGAAACCAGATGAACTGTGGCAGGAGAAACATTACCGCTTCTGTCAACAGGGGCAACAAGTGTCAAATAAAAGTCTCATAAACAGAGCAAACATTTATCAGTATGGTTTTGACCAAGCAGTCCCAAGGCATAAGTGAAAAAAAATGACGTGACACAAACCTACAACTGCACAAAATATCTGGATTTGCATGTATTTGACTGTTAACGCCACTGTATAACCAGAAAGACATGCCAAACCCTGTGACTTCGCTCCAGCAAAATACATAAAGCTCTCAGAAAAGGCCGGACTGGTTAGTAGAGCTGACATATGAGCTAGCAGAGAAGAGTTCATGAGCAGTCCTGAGAAACACGGCTCACTGTTTGACACCTGTAATTCTCTGTAGTTCTCATCCATCCTAATTGCAGCGATAACATGAGGCAGGCCGTTGTTTACTATGCGTATGACTGTGAAGCAGTTACATATAAGCAGCAGCACTATAGTACACACAAACAGTGTATATGAACATGTTCAGTAGAAGTTTAAAAGTCTTATCCAGAGCTCGAAATTAACTTTTCTCTTCAGTTTGTTGCAACTGTCACGAAGTCTAACTGACTCAGACCTAACAATAAAATCACCCTGCTGATCACAGTCAGTCTGATCTCTTAATTTTGAGTGCTGGTCTTATCCATTCAAGGCTCTAAGACAAAAAAATAAGAAAGAAAATCACTAACTCTAACAAAATGTAGAAATCTGTATCTACAGATAATCTAATAGTACTTACACTAATGATTGTTTGTGGTTGCCATGTGCATATGTAGGCGGTTGTCTTAGAACAGATTTTCAGCTATTTGTGCTACTTGAACAGTCAATATGAGTCTACACACTGCGTACAGAAGTAGGTTCCTATTTGTATACGCTATGTCATGTTATTAATAAAATACAATTATTACTGAATAAAATTACTCTGAAAAGCAAGAACCGTAGCTGATGAATTTTTGCCTTCTTAGTTAACTTTTATATGAGTGAGCACCCGCAACTACTACATACTACAACTGCTGGTTAAAAAGGCCAGATCTACTACAGTAAAGATCTACTTAATGAACATTATCCAGGTGTTTTTTCATCACCAACCGTACCGATTTGATGAGGCGGTCCAGGTCCTCCACCTCGAAAGTGTCTGGATTCAGGTGGTTGAGGTGGTCAAACTGTTTCAGCAGGGCCTGGTGGCTCGCTGTCCGGCCTGCGAGAAGGTATTAATGAAACATTTTATTTAACTGTTGTGTGAAGTGTTTTGCAGTTAAACATAAACATAACATAAAAAGATGAAACAGATATTTTGCATATTTTAGACTGCTTTCACCTGTGAGGGAAATGCTTGTGATAGTCAAGAGTTTCCTTTCCTTTTTGCTATAATATAATGACCTTCACACATGATTCTACTGTTGTTCACATGCTTTATGCTTAATGAATAGAAGTGTCTTATGTATCCACCATGTATAACCATGTTTAAGCTGTTTGCTACCTGAAACCTCTTCTTGTTTAAGTGTATCTGTACCACAAAGGAATATATGTGTGGAGGTCTTTGAGGAGTAGGATCATGAAACAGACATATGACACGATGTGACATACAAAGGACAAGAAAAGAACAATGTGTGGGTAGAAAAGTAGGCAGAGAAAGGTTTAATAATAACCGGAGTAAAATCATGAGATTCCTGTTGTTTTGGTTACAGTAAATGTGTCTAGGAGAGACTGCCTTTCAACCTGCTGCTGATGCCTCTTCTCTGCAAACAAATTAAAGTGTAGACAATCAGATTTAAAGAAAATATTGCTTCTCTCTCTCACCTGCACTAGACAGTAACTGATTTTTCACACTAAAAACTGAGAGATTGTGTCATTCAACACACAAACCCAGTTTGTTTACTGAAGCTCAGCTCAAACTTACACTGGAAAGAGAAAGTAGGTGTGAATTTAGCACGATGGCTAGGGATTCCTGTGTTTGTATTTAATATGACACCACCTCTAAAATGTTTCTACAACTTGCACCATCCTGCATAATGTCTCCAACCATTATGTTTTTAAAAAGGTGATGTGTTATGACTTCCACCTGTATCTATGTTCTTTTTTCACAGAACCTTTGTTAACCACTGTTAGCTGAGCTAGGTGCAGTATTACATCATGTTCCTGTGTCGAGTAGCCACATCCTATATTTGACGATGACCCAACTGTGTATTACAAAACTTCTTGTGCAGCTTGAATAAGCACAAGTTTGTCAGAGACACATAAACAAGATACGCAGGACACTTACCATTACCCTCCTGGATGTCATGTTTGGCTTTGATGAGCATCCGCAGCCTGTTCATCTCCTCCCTCTTCAGCTCGTCCAGCTTAGTCCGAAAGTTGTGGTGGACAAAGTCCAGCTCTTTGGAAAGTTTGCCATGCTGCAAGCGGAAAATCAACAGGGCCCAGTTCAATACAAACTGTTCATGTCAACAAACAGCTTACAAAATAATGGAATGTTTAGTGAGTATGCAGACGAACCTTGATGTCATCTATGTTTGCATTTTTGAGCTTTTCTTTGAAGTGGGGATCTTTCTCGAGGAACTCAATGACTTCCCTGAGGTAGCGGTCGTAGTGCAGCCCAGTGTCCTGAAGCGCAAACCAAAGCACACATCAGTGTTTGTCGGAATGAAATGTACATTTAACTTGACTCAGGGCCATTAAGGAAAACTCTTGTGTCGCTTAAATCTTCCCAAAAAATGGTAGCATATCATTTAACCTGATACTGCTCGTTTGTTTTGAGCAATACTCCCGTCAACCCTTTACCCAAAGCAAGTGTACTTTCATGTGCAACAACCCTGTCTTAGACACTTTAAGCCCAAATGATCCCCTCCTTTGAATGACTGAGAGGTATTTGGTGCAATTAGTAATAAGACCAAGATTTAGATCCCTGTATACGACAGTTTATCTGACTCACAGCGCTCTGTGGTGGCTGCAGTTCCTCTTGAGGCTGTTCTTTGGTCTTGTCCACACTGATAGGCACTGACTGGATACACACCCACAAACTCAGCAGAACCAGCCCACAATGGGCCAAGGTTTTACCTCTCACCATCTGCTTACGTACTTAGAGAAAAAGAAAGGAGTTAATTGTGTAAATAATTATAACTTGGTCATGTTACATGAATATGGTACGTCTCTCACAGAGCTTTGTTCGGCCTATGTGTCCAGTGTGTCTAACCAGTGATGTGTGGAGATGCTCTATCCTTAAAAACAACACCCTTCATTTCTCAAGCATTGCAAAACTGGTACGAGGCACAACGTAATCTGGAGACAATGTGGGATGAGGTTATGCAATTGATGCAACTCTGTAACACAAGCAAAGGACTGTGCAACACACGTGTTTGGTGGATAAAGACACGGCGAGCTCACTTCAAACAAATAACTTGAAGGAGTGTTTCGTGAAGCTGTTACTCACTCATGACAAACACAAACACACGGGCTAACGCTATCATTCAAAGCCCGGGCAGCTTAGAGATGATGGTTTAGTGAAGATGTTAGCTAATTCATTAACCCATACATGTAGAAAAGCTACAAAACAAGCTTCGTGTAAAAAACAACAACACTCACTTGTAAACAGACACTTACTTTGAGCTCCTCTTTTGACTCTTTATCGTGCTTTAACCGGTAAGTTGTTCCTCAAAGTGCCCGAGCCTCACTGGAGCTTGTTTACAGCTGTCATCTGCCACCAATACAAGCCTCCTATGACCACAACCTACAGAAAAAGGTTGTGGTCGCCATGACAACGCCCCGCCCCCCACCGCCCCCATTGGGCAGCAGAAGTATACTTTCTTTGTGAAAGAGTCGCGTTGAGAGCTGATTGGACGCTCGACCTGTCAGTCAAAGCGTATCAACCCGCCAACCCGTGGCTTAAGGTGCGTTGAGACAAACTGTACGTGGCGTTCAGTCAACACCAGACGAGGGCGGAGTTAGTGTTTGATGCGAGGGACATGGTTCATGGTTTAAAGTGAATTACACATATTTCATTATACAGCCTGTTTGTACACGAGAGCATATGGTCAGTGCAAATTAAATGAACGGAGATGTAAATGATTGAGGACTGTAGTGGAATTGAAGTGGTGCGTGTACCAACATTTATCAATGCTGCAAAAACACAGAGACTGTTTTACAAATTACAAAACAGTTCAAAAGCTAATTTCAAAAAAAAAAATCCAGAGCAATCATATTAAGAAATGTACAGTTTGTGTGTTTTGTCTGTTTATTCTTGGTTATTGCATCATTATAGTAGACAGAAGGTGGCATGGAGACTTTAAGGGTGGCAGAAATATATATGGTGATTTAATTGCAAACAATCACATCAATCAATATTTGCTTTGAAAAGTCCCCAAATTAAGATATTTGAACTTTACATTATTGTGGTACATAAGTACTACTGTATATATCTATAGCATATTCACTTGCCTCTGTCTATACTGTACATATCTACCTATAGTGTATTCATATCTAGCTGTCTGTATATAATGTCAACCAATTTAATTACTTGTACTTACATCCAAACTATATAATTTACTGCTAATCTGTTTATACTGTGCATATCTTAATTTAATAGCTGTATATATCTTAGTGTATTCATTTATCTCCATTCACTCTGTCACACTGTTATGCTTTTCATATTGATATATATATATATATATATATATATATATATATATTCCCTATATATCCTGCTAGTATATTCATATATATATATATATATATATATAATGTTATTTTTTTATATTACTCTGCACTTTACTGTTTTGTGCACTTCTGGTTAGATGCTTAACTGCATTTCGTTGTCTTAGTACTTGTACTTTGTGTAATGAAAATAAAGTTGAATCTAATCTAATCTAATCTAATAACAATATGTTGACATTTTGTCAGAGATTCTGTTTTCAGCTTGTTCTGATGATGCCAAGTAGTCAAGAAAATCTACATTAATGCAGCTTTAATGAAACAATTCCAAGTGTTTATACAGTAACATAACAGTAACATCCCACAGCTTTCAGGCTGAGTGAGTGTTAGCATATTACTGGGGTTAGCAAGTCAACACCTCTCTTCAACCTTTATGTCATATTGCAATTATTGTGAACAATATTGTGATTGCAATATAATAAAAACAAGTGGTATCATGAGTGAACTTGCTTGGTTATCACAAAATAAGAAAATCCATTTTTAAATTTTTCTTAATATTTTACTAACTTAAATTCTTTAAAAAAAATTAAAAATAGAAATTTTTGCAGACTTGCTTTGCTCAACATTACCATAATATATCATAATATCTCATAAAATGAGAAGTTTTCAATGTGCAAACATTTGGACCTTTAAGCTGGGTGTAACATAATAATTAGTAAGTCACACATATAAAATTAAACTTATAAACACATGTAATTGTGTTCTGTTTTGTTTGGCTTACACGAGACTTTAATTAATTTCATTCTTTACATGTTTTACACAGTACCTCTTTCTGCTCAATGTCGCTGAGCCCAAATCCAAAATATCACCATACGACAGGGGTCAGGTTTTTTTCAGCCACCAATTCGACGCTGTGAGCCTTTTATTTATGTTTATATTTTCCACGTGGGCTCCTGTGTGCACCTCTCTGCATGCTCTACACCGCCCAGTCTACACTCCTGTTACTCACGTGACCATACACAGCATACGCGCTACAGAGATTTGTCATATCTTTCCAGGGTGTGAATAATGAGCAGAGCGTAATGCACACAGAAAAAGAGGGTCACACTTATACGATACCTTTTTATTTAATTAAATCGCGCCCTTTCGCGGTTATGTAATCGGACAGGGTTACATCGCGATTGCAGTGGCCCTAATCATATGTAATTGATTGATTAGATCTGTTTCGGTGTTCCCTACATATCCCTGTATCTTATTAAACTTGAATGAAGGTGCATGATAACACAGATACCCTGTTTACTCAGGCACGATAGCTACTGTTCTAACAAATATACTATTGTACAAGATTGCTGAAAGGATAATGATAGCCTGCACAACACTACCACATGGTTTGTTACAAGCACTTATTTTATCTGTCATAGTTTGGAGGTAATTTCCATCACCTGTAAAACAAACATCATAATCAGACCAACAAAGTGCTTTCTGCTTGGATACTCCACACCTTACTACCAAGGCAGTGATTGAGTTAGTGTGTTGTCACATTACCCAATTTACAGAGACCCACAACAAATGGATTATTTACCTTCAGCAACAGACTGTCTGCGATAAACGATGCAATTGCCCAGTATTTCATTTTCAATGAGTGGTTTTCTGTTTTTAATTTTCATTTCAAACTGACATGAGATTGTATAAAAAAAATAAAAAAATAAAAAAAGATAAAACAGTCGGACATGCTTTCTTGTCTACATGCAGTTACCTTGTTGCCTGTCAAACTGCCTGGCAACTGGCCTTCATTTAATAGGATATATTTATAGTCTTATTACATCAGGCAACAGTGACATCTAATACACACAGGAGTAAACAGCTGGGGCTGCATGATGAAAATATGTTGCCTAAAATGGTAAACTCATGCCACCTGCTCTACAAGGTAGATCCCAAACCTCATCACTGCCAATAATTCTCAGTTGATTTGCTGCAACCTAGCTCTAACCAAGTGACACTAACATTTTCTCTTATACTATATACGGGCATTCATTTCCCTATAAAGTACACTCTAATTGCCTGATTGAAAATCTGCTTTGAATACTGACACCCAGAGCATGAACCCTTTACATTTTGGTAGGCCAGTACATTAACCTTCAATGGTTATTGGCTCAATAGCCATGAAATTTACTATGAATATTTGTGTTACCCAGCAGCTGCACCTTGCTACTTCTGATGACCCTGTGGCCTCCTATACCACTAAACACTCTGCCAATTAGCAGCCCTGTCTAGAAGTGACATTTATAAATACCTTTCAAGGAAATCACAGTGCTAACCAAATTACATTTTCTACCTGTTTCTATTGTATTCCATGTAGTCTTGTTTTTCCTGACTGGTGTTGTGAATTAGCATCCGCTATAAACACTTTAATACTTGCATCAGATAGCTGTTTTCAGCCTGTCTGTGGTTACTGTAACTGTCCATATCACACAAACCATAAATAAATAAGTTTTAATAACATAATAATGAAACATTGTTCAATATTGTACCTGATAAGCCGCAAATATGTTAATACTAACACTGCCTGCAAATATGTTAATACTAAGGAAAGGGGGGCAGAGAGAGGGGATGACACGCAGCAAAGGGCCGCAGGTCGGATTCCAACCCTGGACCACTGCAGCAAGGACTCAGCCTTGGTACATGGGTCGCCAGCTCTACCCACTGGTTGCAAGCGTGCATGCCTGTCCACAGAGGAAGAGAAACCGGCAATAGTGAGTCATTTTGTTTGCATACTGTGTGTGTCAGGTGACCGGCATGATCAATGTAGTAATCTAGATCCTGAACGAATCCAAAGAATGCCATTGGATTTACAAGCAGTGCTTTGACAGCCAAAATGCAATATGGTGACATTTTCACTGAGAAAATAAGAAGACAACTAACATAAAATCCAACAGAGATGGATGAGAGCTGGAACTGCTGAGCTCCAGCGTTCGCAGGGAGACGTCCTCCACTCTGCTCCAACAATGAAATCAAAGTCGAGAAGATGAATGAGGGAGAAAGTGCCATGGGAGAGTTAGCCATTGATCCAACAGAGAAACAAATCTGTCTTCCTCTCTGTCTGCAGGGATCAGAATAATACAGTACATATCACCTGCGGCTGACTGTCTGTTGCTCTGTGTAGTTTCTCTAAACCTGCTGCCTTTTCATTTGTTCACATCTCGTCTTATATCTGTGTCAGGCCGTGGACATGTACTTAATTAAATGTAATTCATAGATTTTATTTGGTCTTAAAGACTTTAGCTTTATTTTTGTGTCAGCATTATTTTAAACCAACCTTGGTTCTTTAGTTTTAATACTTTTCATTATACCAAGATCTATTTTTGCTACTATTTATGGCTGACATTTATTTTAAGGTCTATAAGGTGTGTAATATTTAGGAGGATCTATTAGCAAAAATGGAATTTAATATTCATAGGTATTTTATCGCTTGGAAGGGGAGGTGACCAGTGCCGTCTGTAGATAAAAACGTCTCATTCTAAGGTAACAAGAACACAACGATT